CTGCATTCAGCAAAGAATCCGCTTGAGATTCCCATTCCCTCTCCCCCTGGCCCTCCCGCTCAGGCTCTGTGCCTCTCTTTCTCTGAAATAAATTTTAAAAATCTTAAAAAAAAAAAAAAAAAAAGCTTTGTGCCCTACCAACAGAGCCAGCCAAGCACCCCTGTATTAGTTTTAAGTGCACAACATAATGATTTGATTTATGTGTATATTTCAAATGTATTTAAGAATTGTAATCTCTACACCCAATGTGGGACTTGAACTCACAACTCAGAGATCAAGAGTTGCATGCTCTACTGCCTGCACCAGCCAGGCACCCCTCAAATGTATTTGATATTTGAATGGGAAACAGAAACATCAAAAAATATTAAAAGGGAATTTTCCCGCATGCTAGCATGAGGATCTTCACAGACCCCCTCCCCAGTGAAACTGCTGAAAAGTGTTAAAATAAGAACCATTGAACATTTCTGGAAGTGGTCCCAAGGGCATACAGTAAATGAGGAAGGAACCATTCAAGAAAATCTATGAGACGGTTCAGTTAGAATAGTGAGTGTTTCTGGTATTTGATATTTTTGCCTCCCTTTCTTCTACCAGTTCAGCGAGATGGAAACTCCAGGTCAGACTGGCGCACCCAGGCGAATAAGGTTGGTTCACCCTTAGCCCCCAGATGGGGGTTATCTTCTCAGGATGGGTAACACCTCAACATTTCTTGTCCTGCTCTCAGCCCCCCTGTGTTGATGATTTTTGAGGCAAGAGCAGCTCTTTAAAGAACAACTGAGCATTTCCAAAATTATGGAAAGGCTCTGATCACCAGATCCAAGAATTTGAAGGAATCTCAAATAGGATAAATTAAAAGAAATCCACCCCGAGACACATTATATAAAATTGCAAAATGACAAAAAAAGAATTACTTAAAAAAAGAAAGAAAGAAAGAAAGAAAGAAAGAAAGAAAGAAAGAAAGAAAGAAAGAAACTGGTGCACTTGGGTGGCTCAGTGAGTTAAAGCCTCTGCCTTCTGCTCAGGTCATGGTCCCGGGGTCCTAGGATCGAACCCCCACCGGCTCTCTGCTCAGCGGGGAGTCTGCTTCCCCCTGTCTCTCTGCCTGCCTCTCTGCCTACTTGTGATCTCTCTCTCTCTGCAAAATGAATGAATAAAATCTTAAAAAAATAAAAAAGAAAGAAACCAGAAAGAAAGATCACAAGAAATAGCATTTTGATTGAGATCCTAGTTCTTTTATTCCCCCAAGAATTTTATTTTATTTTACTTAAGATTTTATTTATTTATTTGTCAGAGGGAGAGAGAGAGAGAGCACAAGCAGAGGGAACCGCAGGCGGAGGAAGGAGGAGGCTCCCCCCTGAGCAGTGACCTTGATGCGGGGCTCCAGACTCCGTCCCGGGATCCCGGGATCCTGACCCTAGCGGGAGGCATACGCTTAACCGACGGAGTCACACAGTCGCCCTCTTCCCTAGAATTTTAAACATACCTGTTAATTTGTCACCGGGGCTAAGGGACAAGAAGGGGCCCTAAAGCACAGTCTGGGATTAGAGAAACAGAAGGAAGTGGGGTTAGGTAAAGCGGTTGGGTCAGGGAAGCAGCCACCTGTTAGGGAGGGTCAACTTCTAAGTAGCCATCCAGTGTGACCTCCCCCTGTCCCCCTTCATAGTCCGACACCTGGAACCTCGAGCCTTCTGCCGCTCCCGGGATCATGACCGCGGATGGAATCGGCACAGGATTCGCTTATTCGCTAAGCCCCGCCCAATTCATACCCTACACCCTGCGATGGCTGGGTCACTTCGGTCACCACCAGGTCTGCCGGGCAGGCGCAGCCAGGCCAGGTCCCGCACGTGGATGAGCCTGCGTCACACTCACCCTTGCAACTTCTTCCCGAACTGCGCCCAGCTCGGGGCCGCCAGGGGCTCGGTGAGAACCGCCCCGCAGCCCGGTAGCCGCGACAAAATCCGCTGGTTCTGCTCCTGGAGACCCCACCGCGGACGCTCTCGCAGAAGTGGAGGGCGAGCTGGCCTGGCTGGCCCGGCTCCCCACGTTCCCGCCGCCACCCAAGACCCTACCTTCTTCTTCTTCTTCTTTTTCAAAAAGATTTTATTAATTTATTTGACACAGAGAGAGAGGTCACAGGTAGGCAGAGCAGCAGGCAGAGAGAGAGGGGAAGCAGGCTCCTGCTGAGCAGAGAGCCCCATGTGGGGCTCGATCCCAGGACCCTGAGATCGTGACCCCAGGAGAAGGCAGACGCTGAATTCATTGAGCCACCCAGGCACCCCATGTGATGATGATGATTTTTAAGTAGTCTCAAGGCTGGGCGTGGAGCCCAACACCGGGCTGGCACTCACCACCCTGGGATCAAGACCTGAGCTGAGATCAAGAGGCTGTCGCTTACCCGAATGGGCCACCCAGGTGCCCTGAGACTGTCTTTCAAGATCCAGGGTGGGTCGCCAGGCTGGCTCAGTCAGTAGAACAGGTGACTCTTGATCACTCTTGGGGTCCCGAGTTGGAGCCCCATGTTGGCCATAGAATGTATCTTAAAAATCAAACAACAAAACAAAACAAAATCCCTTAAATCAGTAGCTACAGATATTTCTTCTGCGAAAACAACATAACTAGATGGATATACAAGCAAGGCCAATAAAACATTCCAGAAAGAGGTAATTCCAATCTCACAGAATTTTTTCCAGCAAATAGGTATTTGAACACCAAACTCAGGCAAAGACAGTACAAGACAAGAAGAGTAGGGACTAATATAATTTATAACAGATGGGATGCAAAAGCTTTACTAAAATATTAATTAAAATTAATGTCAAATGCCATAGTATATAAAAAGATACCATGATTGGGGTGCCTGGGTGGCTCAGTGGGTTAAAGCCTCTGCCTTCGGCTCAGGTCATGATCTCAGGGTCCTGGGATCAAGCCCCGCATCGGGCTCTCTGCTCAGCAGAGTCTGCTTCCTCCTCTCTCTCTGCCTGCCTCTCTGCCTACTTGTGATCTCTGTCAAATAAATAAATAAAATCTTAAAAAAAAAAAAAAAAGATACCATGACCAAGGTGGGCTTATACAGGAATGGAAATAAATGTATTAGTAAATAAAATAAATTTATGTCATTGGACATTTTAAATTAAATGAGCCAAATAATATGGCTATTTCAGATACTGAAAAAGCATACAGTAAATATTTATTTACAACAAAAATCTGTTAATGAACTAGTAAAAAATTTGACAGCAGGGGAGAGAGAGAGAGAGAGAGAGCACAAGGAGGGTGAGGGGCAGGCAGAGGGAGAGGGAGAAGCCGGCTTCCTGCTCAGCAGAGAGCTTGATGTGGGGTTTGATCCCAGGACCCTGGAATCAGGGCCGAGCCAAAAGCAGATGCTTAACCATCTGAGCCACCCCGGTGCCCTCAAGTGTTCTTTCTTTACTTGATATGGTGCATCTTCCAAAAACTTACAGTAGATATCATACATAATGGTGAAATGCTGAAAGCATGTCCTTTAAAATATCTTCAGGTGTATTGTATAGGGAATAAAGAACAGAAGCCACAAGATCAGTGAGCCATTTACTGTAATAATCCAGGTAAGGGATGCTGGTGGCTGGGTCAGAATGAGAGCTCAAGGACCACCCACAAATTTCTGGTCTGAGTTCCTGGAAGGATTGAGCTGCTATTACTGAGAAGAGGAAGATGGAAGGACATAGGCTAGCTTGGGGGGACAATCAGGAGCTTTGTTTTAGACATCTGGAGTTTGAGTGCGGACACACACCCAGTGGAGATGTCAAGGAGGCATCTGTAAAGAGGAGATGGAAGTTCAGTGAGAGAGGACTACACTGAAAATACAAATTTGAGCACTGTCAATGAATAGAGGTTGTACAAGCACAATAGGAGTTACAAGCAACATGATACAGAGTGATAGGGGTGGAGTGTTATTAAGATTGGAGAAGTCAGGAGCAACTGATAAAATACGAGCGAGCCATGGTTAAATCAGAAAGGAAGAGTATTGCAGGTAAAGGCAATAGCTAGTGCAAAGGCCCTGGGGTGGCCCTCATGGTTGGGCGTTTTCAGGCCTTGGCCTCAGCGAAGACTGTCCACCGCTCAGAAAAGCCACCATCATTAGCTCAAGGCTCTTTGAAGGTCGGAGTCTTGCTCAGATCCGCGCAATTTAGGCCAGTGAGCCACTGAGCGGAAGGATTCTGGGGCAATGCTGCCCTCTGCTGGCTGGGACAGATATCAGCTCCATTTTCAACAATAATAATATAATACACAATATTTTGTTAGTATTAGTAGAACACAGTACTCAATAAATCCATGACCCAGCCTCTCTCATCCTTGTGCGGCACGAAGGCTGGCACTAGTAGGTATAATGAACGTATAAATAAATGAACGTATAAATGTGGCTAGGTTCTGAGTCTCGAGTCTGTTCTACAAATCTGGGATTCTTGATCTCATTGTATAAACCAATGTATATGGAGCACGTCCTGTGTGCTAAAGAGCTGTTCTAAGTTCTTGGGACAAATCAATGGGCAAGAGACAAAAGCTTGTGCAAGCAGCTTAATAAAGATCTCTATACATTCATGCTTCTCAATCTTTACAAAGTTTATTTTTATTGATTTGTGAAAGGATTTTAGGTAATCTCTACACCCAGTGTGGGGCTTGAACCTAAATCCCCCAGGTCAAGAGTGGTATGCTCTACCGACCGAGCCAGCCAGGCGCCCCTTTCACAACGTTTTTAATACCAAAACACTATTCGCTCCGTTTTATAGAGGAGAAAAATTAACGCTTGGAGAGAGGCTTTGATTGTAGAGAAGTGACCGGGGTAGGATTCGAATCCATAACAATATTTATTTGTCGGTGGGACAAACCAGACGCAGCCGGTGGGAACTAACTAGCCGCTCCGCGGGGACGAGCACACTGGCGTCCGTTGCCATGGTTCCCTCACTCTCTTCCAAAGAGACCGCCCGGGGCCCGCCTCACGTGACTTTAATCAACATGGCGCCGCCCAGGGTGTTGCAGTGGCCACGTGGTTCCCTTAGCTAAAATGGCGGCAGCAGTCAGCCCGACGTCTCTGGAGTCGGCTCCGCGAATCATGCGGCTGGTGGCGGAGTGCAGCCGATCCAGGGCCCGGGCAGGGGAGCTACGGCTGCCGCACGGGCCGGTAGCCACTCCCGTGTTCATGCCAGTGGGCACGCAGGCCACTATGAAGGGCATCACGGCCGAGCAGCTGGACGCTCTGGGCTGCCGCATCTGCCTGGGCAACACCTATCATCTGGGTCTGAGGCCGGTGGGTCGGTTCTGCCTTGATGGGGAGATGGCAGGTAGTGGGGAGTACGGGCACCTCCGAGGCACGGGCAGGAGGGAGCGGCGGGGACCGTAGGTGGCCAGGCCTGTCCTCCAACATGAGCCCTCAGGGTAGCGCCCCCCCCCCCCCCACTAACCTGTTCCTTTCTTCTCCTGACCCAGGGCCCCGAGCTGATCCAGAAAGCCCACGGTCTCCACGGCTTCATGAACTGGCCCCACAATCTACTGACGGTGAGGTGGAGTCGGGGCCGGGATCCCAGGGCGCCTGCAGGGCGCCACCCCCCTGACAGCCCTGCGGTGGGATTTCCCTCAGGACAGCGGCGGCTTCCAGATGGTGTCTCTAGTGTCCCTTTCCGAGGTGACGGAGGAGGGCGTCCGCTTCCGTTCCCCTTACGATGGCGATGAGACCCTTCTGAGCCCGGAGAAGTCCGTGGAGATCCAGAACGCTTTAGGTGAGCGAATCCTGGGCCACCTGCTCTTGCCTTGCCTCTAGAAGGTGGAGGTGAGGCGGGCCGGGTCCTTAGGGGATGCTCGGTTTTGGGTAAGTCACTCCCCCTGCCTGAGCTTCAGAGGAGCCAACTCAAGTGAGGATAGTTCACAGAAGTAATGACGTAATGTTTGTTCATCGCTTAACACAGTGCCTGGCATGTAGGAGCTTTAATCATATCTCTAAAGCTGTTCTTTCTCTTAAATGGAAATTAGCGGGGCAACGATTAATAATGAGAAATAATGAGAGCAACAAGGGGGCGATGGGGGAAGCCTTCTGTCCTTCCTGTTTATATCAATATCCTTCATCCCTTGATAAAGACAATGAACATTTCTCTGTGGTATATATTGTATATAGTGCACATTATGTAGTTTCTAGCTGTACCTCCTTCCTGTCGTCTTCCTTTTTGAAAAGACCTTATTTATTTATTTATTTGGGACAGAGGAGGGGAGGGCCAGGAGGAGAGGCAGAGCATCCCAAGCAGAGCCCTACTGAAGGAGGAGGCAGAATGGGGTTGGAGGTGGGGCTCCGTCTCACCACTGGGCGCCTATTCATTCATTCATTCATTCATCCATTCAGTCGTCATTCATTCATTCATTCATCATTCATTCATTTGTTCGTTCATTTATTCATAAATTTGCTCCTTCAAGAGATGAGTTTCTTTTCCCCATAGGGTGTCCCAGGGTCTGAATTTTGCTGATCGCATCCCCACGATGCATGTAACACTCTTCTTCTGCCTTCTGGATTTACTGTAGTTGGTAGTCAGATCTCGAGGTTTGCGCAAATCAGGTTCTGGTTTCCTGTAGCGAGAGGGCTTCGCAGCGTGTGTATTTCCATCAGGGAGCGCCAAACCTCTGCTGGGATCTCCCCGGGAGTCATCGTGCTCTTTGCCTGGGACTCTCATGCCATGAGGAGTTCCAAAATGGTCATGTTCTTTCTTCATCTATCACCCAGGTTATTTTTTTTAAATCATTTTTATTTATTTATTTATTTATTTATTTATTTATTTTTAAGATTTTATTTATTTATTTGACAGACAGAGACCACAAGTAGGCAGAGAGACAGGCAGGGAGAGAGGAGGAAGCAGGCTCGCTGCTGAGCAGAGAGCCCGATGTGGGGCTCGATCCCAGGACCCTGGGATTATGACCTGAGCCGAAGGCAGAGGCTCAACCCACCGAGCCACCCAGGCGCCCCATTTTTATTATTTTTAAAAATTTTATTTATTTGACAGAGAGAGAGAGATCACAAGTAGGCAGAGAGGCAGGCAGAGGGGGAGGAGGAAGCAGGCCCCCTGCTGAGCAGAGAGCCGGATGTGGGGCTCCATCCCAGGACCCTGAGACCATGACCTGAGCTGAAGGCAGAGGCTTAACCCACTGAGCCACCCAGGCCCCCCAGGGATGAATGAATCTTTAGTGTTTTTAGGATCACCATGTAATTGTGAGTTGGTTGGTTTGTTTGCTCATTTGTTTATTTAACCATGGGTTTAGATGTATTTGATGTGTCTCAGTTTCTTCAGTTGAATCGATCCATATTGATTCTCAAATTGCCCCATCTTTGGTTTGTGCGGTGCACCGTGCTTTTTTCCTGGAATGATGCATCTTGGCAGTGTTTCCCTGAGCTTTTCTAACACGTATAAATCCACAGCCCCTCATCTGAAATTCTTCAGGTTAATTCAGAATTGTAGTATTTTAGAAGGATAATGCAACATACACAGTGTCCTGGTAGGTCTGGGCAGCACCCTGTTAAACTTCCCTCTTTCCATTAAAAAAAGATGGGGGGGTTGTCGCCTGGGTGGCTCAGTGGGTTAAAGCCTCTGCCTTCGGCTCAGGTCATGATCCCAGGGTCCTGGGATCGAGCCCCGCATTGGGCTCTCTGCTCAGCGGGAAGCCTGCCTCCTCCTCTCTCCTTCTCTCTGCCTACTTGTGATCTCTGTCTGTCAAAGAAATAAATAAAATCTTCAAAAAATAAAAAAAAGATGGTGGGGTGCCTGGGTGGCTCGGTTGGTTTAGTGTCTGCCTTTGGCTCAGGTCGTGATCCCAGGGTCCTGGGATCGAGCCCCGTGCCGGGTTCCTAGCTCAGGGGGAAGCCTGCTTCTCCCTCTACCTGCTGCTCCCCCGTTTGTGTTCTCTTTCTCTACGTTGCATAAATAAATTCTTCAAAAAAAATTTAAAAAATTAAAAAAAATAAATTGTGGCAAAATACACGTAACATAAAATTTACCATTAAAAAATAAAGCTATCAGGGCGCCTGGGTGGCTCAGTCGGTTAAGAAGCTGCCTTCGGCGGGGCGCCTGGGTGGCTCAGTGGGTTAAGCCTCTGCCTTCGGCTCAGGTCATGATCCCAGAGTCCTGGGATCGAGCCCCGCATCGGATTCTCTGCTCAGCAGGGAGCCTGCTTCCTCCTCTCCCTCTGCCTGCCTCTCTGCCTACTTGTGGTCTCTGTCTGTCAAATAAATAAATAAAATCTTTAAAAAGTATTTTATTTCTAAAATTTATTTAAGTAGGCTGCATGCCCCATGTGGGGTTTGAACTCATGACCGTGAGACCAAGAGTGGTAAGCTCTACTGACTGAGTCAGCCAGCTGACTCTAACCGTGTTTTAAGTGTCTGATTTAGTGGCACTAAGCACATTTACACTGTTGTGCAACCGTTCACCACCATCCTTCTCCAGAACTCTTCATGCTGCAAAGCTGAAACCCCGTTCCCATTAAACACTAACTCTCCATCCCCCTCCTTCAGCCTCTGGCTGCCGCCATCTACTTCCTGTCCCTAGACTTCTCTAGGGACCTCATACAAATGGAATCATACAGTATTTGTCATTTTTTGTGTCTGGCTTAGTTCACTGAGCCTAATGGCCATGACGTCGTAGTATATGTCAGATTTCTTTTTCCTTTTTGAGACTGAATAAGTCACCTGCTAAATCGGATTTTATTAAAGATAATGACTATCTTGGGTTTTGATGTCAAATTAGATATGCCGTAGGCATGAGATAAAGTCTTTGGTTTTGAGAAGTTTCTAGATTTTGGAATTGTGGGAAAGGAACATTGTGTTAAGGGTTGGACCCTGACTTACTGAGCCAGACACCTGTTAATGGGCACCTGGGCTCCCGTGGTCCCGTTGCCTGCCACACCGGGGCAGTTTGCTTTGTATACACAACATTTTGCTCTCGAAGGTTAATTCTGCCGGAGTGGGATTTCATTCCCCGTGCTCCGGCAGGGTTTCAGCTGGGGTGAGGCGAGATCCGATGGGTATTTTCAAAACCTCCCTCTGGTTGTTGTATGAACAGACTGGGGGGCTGTGTGGAAGCCAGTAAGACCCAGGGAGGCACTTTGAAGGTCCAGCTTTTCCCCAGCAGGAAGTGAAGGCTTTCCCAGTGATGGTGCTTCTGTCTTATCCCCCCCAGGCTCGGACATCATCATGCAACTAGATGATGTGGTCAGCAGCACTGTGACGGGGCCACGCGTGGAGGAGGCTATGTACAGGTGTGTGTGTGTCAGGGAGCAGATCCTAGTCCTGTAGCCTTGTCCGCTTCCCCTACAGCTCATGACTTGGGCCCTCTCACAGGTCCATCCGCTGGCTGGACCGGTGCATCGCAGCCCATCAGCGACCAGACAAGCAAAACCTCTTTGCCATCATCCAGGGTGGGCTAGACGCGGATCTCCGGACCACCTGCCTCGAAGGTAGACCCATGCGCTGGTCCATCCAGGGCTTGTCCATCACTGAGGGCCCCCCATGGGCCTGGCATGTGATGGTGCGCACGGTGGTTATTGAGGGGTGGAAGGAATAGCTGAAGCAAAGGCCTGGGGGCAGAACGGACTAGAATGTTTGCCGAATGATAGTCATTCCAACAGCTGGTGGTTGGGGGGTGTTCACTGGATGCTATGCCGTGGGCCGGTCACAGATTGATCCAGAGTTTTCATAACCATCCTCTAAGGTGGGAACTCCCAGGTTCCCGAGATTACAGAAGAGGAACCTGAAGCACAGGGCTGTCTAGTCACTTGCCCCAAGCCACGCAGCTTGGACGTTGCAGAGCTGGGGTTTAGACCCAGTTCTTGGGCTGTAGTACCCACAGCATTAACCGGTGCAGGTGCTGGTTCCTCTCCAGGGTCAGGAGTGAGGGGTGGGGCCCAGGGCTTTGTGCTGACATGGGAGGCCCTGGGATACCTCACTGAGGTACTGGGGAGCCATGGAGGGCTGTTGAGTGGGAGAGTGACAGCGACCAAGAGGCATCATGGAAAATATCCCTGTAGGATAGGAGGCAGAAAGCCCATAAAGAGGCTGGAGTATTTGCCCAGGGGAAGAGTGACAGGCCTACACAAGGGCCGTGGCAATGGAGACAAAAGGGAGATAGAAATGGGGATTCAAAGGCAACGAAGTGTCATAGGCAAGACTCTGAGTCCTAGAGTTTGGCTGGCCGGATCCAGACCTCTGATCTCTTGCTTCTTGGCTGTGCACCCTTGGGTTACTGGCTTGGCCTCTCTGAGGCTCCCTTTTTTCCTCTGTAAAATGGGCACATGTTCCCAATGTCATGGGTCGAAGTGAGAGGATAACAGGAAAGTCTGTCCAAAGTCTTGGGCCTCCGCCTGGCATCCGTGTGTACCGTTGTGCAGAACATCCTTGCTGTAATTCCTTTTCTTCTCAAGCTGTGCCCAGCTCCCAGTCCAGTAAGTCTTTTTAACAGAGACCCCCCCCCAGGCAGAGACACATTTCCTGTCACAGCTCAGTATGTGTGGACATAGATGAAAGCAGAAACCAAGACTTCAGGAAACATTAGCCTTAACATGTGGAACATTTCCTGGCATTCTCTGTTCGCTCATTTAAAAAAAACAACAACAAACCACGCTGGTCTTGCCCTAGCAGATTCGGTTTGCGGCCACGCTGATGCTTCTCAAAATGCTCCAAGCTCACCTGTACCAGTGCCGTCTGGCTTCTCCCCACGACTGGATCAGGGTCCACGGGGAGGGGCTGGGAGGCCACCTTTGAACAACTTGTCCCCCCACCCCGTGGATTCGGCTGCTCATTCCAGCTTCGAAAACTGACCCTTGGACCGGGTCCATTTTGTCGATGCCGTGGCCTCCTGTGGTGGAACTAGGCAACTGGGGCCCCAGACACGGCTGGGCTCGGAGGCTGGACCCGGGTTCACATCCAGCCTCTGGCATATGCGGCCTTGGGCCAGCGTTGAGACCCGAGCACCCCAACAACGGCACAGAGCTGCCTTTCTGGGGCCTAGTGGCCCACTTTTAAAATGCAGAATGCTCGGAAATTTGCACCTAACTCTCTTGGTGGCCAGCCCAGACCTGTGGGGTTATTTACCCCAGTTGGTGGGAGTCTCGACATGTTTTGCCGCCGAAACGTTAGAGTTTGAGGACAGACTATTATCCAGCACATGGGATGTCCTAGGTTCTAGAATCTGGGAAGTGCTCAGATTCGCAACATACCTGGTGTTGTCTTCAGTGGCAGTGAAGGGAGCAGAGGCTGTGGGCCTGTCCTGAGGATTGCAGGAGGGGAGGGGCCTCACACGCGCCAGGCACCCAACAAATGGGAACTGAGAACACCAGCAGCCTTTAGACAGACAGACACACACTACTCCCCTTTCTTCCCGAGGGACTGTGGATGTCTGGGTGGGCAGGGTCTGCCCCAGGGCTGCTGAGGAGGCGGCGTATTTTCTTTTGCCTGGTGGCCCCTCACCTTGCCCTGTACCCCCAGAGATGACCAAGAGGGACGTGCCGGGCTTCGCCATCGGGGGCCTGAGCGGGGGCGAGAGCAAGGGCCAGTTCTGGAGGATGGTGGCACTGAGCACCTCAAGGCTACCTAAGGACAAGCCGCGCTACCTGATGGGGGTCGGGTATGTGGAGGGAGGGGAAGCGGCCCTACCTGTGGGGAGCGAGCAGGTTCCTGGGCACTCCTGCCGGGGCTGGTGTTGGTGGAAGGACAATGGCCCTGCCTGGGAGGGGACCGGATGAGGACACGGCTTTCCTCTGGGGGCGGTTTGGGGGGAAGGTGGCCCAGTGTCCGGGGAGTTGGGGTGTCTGTGGGGTGGGGGGAGACCTGAGTGTGTGAGCAGGGCATGAGGTTCTCTGCTCCCTCCTGCCACGGCCGTCCTCTCAGCTATGCCACCGATCTGGTGGTCTGCGTGGCTCTTGGATGTGACATGTTCGACTGCGTCTTCCCCACGCGGACGGCGGTGAGGCCCTGGGCAGGGGGCAGATGGGGTGGGGGCAGGGTGGGGGGAACGGTGCGGATGAAGACCTGGTTGACACCCTCCCCTTTGCCCTCGTCCACCCCTCCCCCAGCGCTTTGGCTCAGCTTTGGTGCCCACCGGGAGCCTGCAGCTGAAGAAGAAGCAGTATGAGAAGGACTTCCGGCCCATAGACAACAACTGTGCCTGTCCCACCTGCCAGAAGTAGGGGAAGCTGGGCCCAGGGGCTGGGGAAGGGTGTGGACGGCAGCAGGACTCCGAGGGGCTGAGCCCCAGCCTCCTGTCCCCAGGCACAGCCGGGCCTTCCTGCACGCTCTGCTGCACAGCGACAACACGGCCGCCCTGCATCACCTCACCGTCCACAATATTGCCTACCAGGTGCCCCGGTGGGCCAGGCCCTGGGGGCGGGACTGGGGAGGGTCCTGGGGCCCCCTGGCTGATACCTTGGCTGACATTCTCCCCCACCCCCCACAGCTGCAGCTGATGAGCGCCGTGAGGGCCAGCATCGTGGAGAAGCGTTTCCCTGACTTCGTCCGGGACTTCATGGGCACCATGTATGGGGACCCCACCCTCTGTCCCACCTGGGCCACTGAAGCCCTGGCCTCGGTGGGGATCACTCTGAGTTGATCTGGTTTGGGGGGCGGGAGGAGGGGGGGGAGAGGGGAGGGACTGGGAGGTACCCAAGGATTTTTTTTTTTTAATTATTATTCTAATTTAGAGTGTTATCTGTGCCTTCTTGGGAAGGTGGCCTGTCTTGGTCCTCTTCTTCTGAGTGTCCCCGTGGCCAGTGTATCATTCCCGTGTTGTGTCCAGTTCCATGCCCCCCCCAATCCCTGCTTCCCCCATTGATAATAAGTCACCTTGGCAGCAGCAGTTCTCTGGAAACCACCTGGCGCAGCTTGGCGTGTAGGACGTACCCCAGCACGGGAGCTGCATCCTTTTTCCTGTGGCTCAGGCCCCCCAGCCAGCCTGAGGGTGGGTACTTGTTCCCCAACTTTCCACAGGTGAGGAAACAGGCAGAAAGGAAAAGTAGCTCGTCCAAGGTCACCACTGAGAGGTAGTGTGTGGGCGGCGCCCCCCCCCCCCCCAGCTTCTGCTCTGAACCTTGACTCTTGACGCATGGCTTAATTTTGCTGTCAGTAAACACAGTGATGGTGACAGTAGGTGTGCTCTAGCAGGTGCTTACACTGTTCTTTTTTTTTTTTTTTAAGGTTTTATTTATTTATTTGACAGAGAGCGATCACAAGTAGGCAGAGAGGCACACAGGGGGCGGGGGAAGCAGGCTCCCCGCTGAGCAGAGAGCCCAATGTGGGGCTCAATCCCAGGACTCTAAGACCATGACCTGAGTAGAAGGCAGAGGCTTAACCCACTGAGCCACCCAGGCACCCCCCTAGTACTGTTCTAAGTAGTTGCCATGTGTGTTTAATTCTTGCAACTTTGTAATGTATTTGTAGCTGCAGTCCCTGTGTTACAGATGAGACAGGTTCAGAGGAATGAAGTGAGCAAAAAAATAGGCACATGATTTAACCTAGATGGGGCCAACTATAGAGCTGCTGCTCTTAGGAGAGAAGATATGGGTTTTATATTGAAAAAGTAATCCTGTGTACAATGTGTAGGATCCAGTATTCTAATAGCATAAAAATGAAACTATTTGATCGGTTTGTGTATTCTCCCAGAGATTGTCCATGTATATATATTTTTCAAGAATGTGGACGCCCTTTGTGTGCAGTTCTGTACCTTTTTTTCCTCTGAGTATATTTCAAATTGTTTACACGTCAGAACATGAAGACTTCCTGTCTTAACAGCTGTTGCACAGTATTTATTTAACGAGCTCAGCGAAGGGGATGTAGGGTGTTTTCCAGGCTTCCGTCACTGTGGTCAAGGCTGCAGTGCGAAGCCTTGTCGGTTGACTTTTTGCCCACCTCTCTGGGACCCGGGTTTTAGGTCTTGGAGCAGGCATATACCATTGGACACTGCCATTCCCCTGTTACTGCCTCATCAGCCCCCTTCCCTACCTCCGTTGCATCTGACTCCTTATTGGGCTTCTCTCTGGCCAATCTATGCCCAGGGGAATCAGATCACTTTATAAAATACTTCCACCTATCCCTGGCTTTTTTTCCCATGAGGTCAAGATTCCTAGCTCCCAGAACCCCCAACACCGACTGCAAAATAATATCTTTACTTGGGGAGAGGATCCGTTGAGTTTCATTGGGTACTCGAAAAGGTCACGAAACGCTCAAGTTGAAGAGGCGGGGGAACGACGTTACAGGCGGTAGCGGAATCAAGTCGGGGCGTGAGCGGAAGGTAATCCTAGGAAAGGGCACAGCATTTGCAAAAGCGTGGAGGTAGGACTTTACAGGAATGAAAACGAGAGCCAACGATGCAGCGCTAAACCGCCTCTCCCCAGGAACTACTAACGCAGCACTGCGGTTCAAAGCGCTTTGAAACCCGGCGCGAAATGCTGGTTTGCAACCTAGGGCCGAGATGCATTCTGGGACTTGTAGTTTTCTCCAGTGGCCGGAAACTCAGAAGCGACTATCACTACCGGGTCCGACCACGAGGTGTCGCCCTTCGGCGAGTATGGTGTGCCTTATTCTTTACTCCAGAAGACTCTCTAACAGACTTACAACAATCACAAGAACGGGAGATTCTTTGATTGACAGAGAAGTTCTCGATCAAAGTCAGGATTCGGAGGTCAAAGCTCGTCCTCTTTGGCTTTGTTGGCTGGAGGAATGGAGTGATATTTATATAAACCAATGGGGAATTCTTAGGGAACTAGGTAGTGTCAAGGGACAAACCGGAGTCGATGAATCGATCCCTAACGTCATTGGCCGGCACTGTTGATTGGCGGGTCTTCCTGCCAATAAGACTTGGGCGTTCTTGCCCATAGGGTGCCTCCCACAGTAGGCGGAGCCTATTTTTCCTATATTTTCCGAAACACCGCCTCCTGGCCTTGACAACTCGCTGCCCCCACGCTATTGGCTCTTGCGCAAAATCGACAGTTCTGGAGTCCAATGGGCCCGCCGGGAGGTCTTTCGGGGGAAGGGTCACTCAACCACAGGCCTATACCTCTCTTTCATTGGCTCGCATGTACGAGTGGCAGAGCGACCGGCCAATCGGGAGCGGTGTGAGGGCTTTGGGCGCAGCCCCGGGGCCCGGGCGGGAGGTCGCTCGGGTCGGGTGTCGTCTGAGAACCGGATGAGGCGGCGACTGTGAGGCCGAGCCGGGAGCGGGCGTCGCGCCGAGGCCCGGGCGGGCGGGGAGCAACGGCCGCGGACGCCGCGGGGCCGCGTCGTTAAGGGCCGGGGCAGGCGGGGAGCGCGGGGCGCTCGGGCCGGGGCCACCGGCGCAATGGGCAACCGCGGGATGGAAGAGCTGATCCCCCTGGTCAACAAGCTGCAGGACGCTTTCAGCTCCATCGGCCAGAACTGCCACCTGGACCTGCCGCAGATCGCCGTGGTGGGCGGCCAGAGCGCCGGCAAGAGCTCGGTGCTCGAGAACTTCGTCGGCCGGTGAGCGAGCGCGGCGGCGACGGCGGGCGGGCGGCGGCCTAGGGCGCGGAGGGCGGACCGGGAATGGCGCGCCCTGCGCAGCCGGCGTAACTGCGGCGCTTGCGTGCCCGCGACGGGGACGGGGACAGGGAGGCGGGCTCTGTGGGACGCCCTGGGCGGAGGGCTTCCTGCAGGGTCTGCGGATCCGGCTCAGGCCCTTGGGGCGTCTCACCAACTGAGGTGCGTGGGCCAGGAAGTGCGGTGGACCGTCGCCGACTCTTCTGGTCCCCAGCTTTCGTGGCTGAATTCTACCATCTGGTTGCCAGTGGGTCAGGGTTAGGTCCCTCTTCTCTGTCTGTCCGAAACCTGCCAGCTAGATACTTATTGGTTCGACCCCTGTGGTCTGGCTGGCTGTTGATTTATCTGGAGCAGCCCCTGCCGTCTGGTTGGCTGTCTCTCTGTCCTGGATAGAACTCCTTGCCACCACCATTTGGCTGTCCATCTGTCCAGTCCCTCAGGGCGGCCCCTGCTGCCTGGCTAGCTGTCTGGGGTGACCTGTGCTGTCTGGCCGCCGGTCCGTGCCCCTCGCAGACTTTAACACTTAGCCGTGCCTCTGTTGGGTTACTCTGGCTGGCCTCTGCAGCCTGACTTGGCTGGCTGGACCCTGGGGGGCTCGGTTGTCTGGTTCTCCTAGGCTGACTCCAAAGCCTGGTCTCTGGCAAACGCTGGCTTCTCTCCCGAATGGATCCTTTTGTCTGTCTGTACAGGTGTCTGGCGTTATCTTAGTCTGCCCATCAGTGCCCTGGCAAGCCCTGGCTGTCTGGCCCCACCTCTACAGTAGCAAGGCGGTGGTGGGAGCATGCAGAGGACAGGGAACTGAAGGATGAAACCTGAATTTCCCTGTCAGTTAGAAGTAGGACCCTGCGGGGGAACTTTCTGCAGGATTCTTTCCCCGCCCTTGTCACAGTGCTCTGGAGCCCCAGAACACAGGCTAACTCCCAAGCAGAAGCCTGCAAATTGAGGGCCCTTGTTGGAGCCTGATAAGGCTTTTGGGCAGCCCTGGAAGCCTCAGTTTACCCATTTGTCCAGTGGACAGACTCCGCTCTGTGGGCTGTTTCCAGGATTCAGGAAGCAGATGAATGAGAGCTGGACATGTGGCCTCCAGGGGTGTTCGGTTCTTTCCTCTCCCTTCCCCCGCTTCTTGCCCTTCTGCCTCCCAGATGGACTGTCACTTCTCCATTCTGGGAAGGACTCGATTTGTGCCTGTGGCTGTTGAATGATAACATCATAGTCATCGTTATTATTACTGTGGTTGTTATCGGTGTTAAGGGGTAATGTTCCTGTGGCCGGCCCCAGGCTGAGTTCTTTTGTCAGCATCTTGAACCCTGCAGTGCGCGAGGTGGAGGTTCTCTTATCCCCAGCTTAGGCTTGAGCGGGGAGGTTCAGTAAAGACTCATCCTTGGCCCAAGGGCACCAGGCTAGGGCTCCTTGGAACCCAGCTGGGTGCCCAGCCCCACCCTGCCTTCCCGGAGGCCGGGAGTTTTGCTCTCAGAGGCATGAATTTCCTCCTTTGCTGCTCTGTCTCTGGCGCCTTGCCTGTTGTCCACTATGGCGGAAAGGTGTGGACTTGGGGTCAGCTGGGCCTGGGCTGAGCCTTGGGCTGGGCTGTGGGCCCCTTTGCATGGTTATCTTCCTCCCTGCCCAGGCTTTCAGTGAGCACACAGCAAAGCTCAGTCCATGTCATTTGCCTTGTGACCTTGCACATGTGGTTTGGCCTCTCTGAGCCTCAGTTTCCCCTCCTAAAAATGGGGTGATGAGTTCCTCGACAAGACTGTTGCCGTGATGCAGGGATACGGTGTATTGAAAGTCCTTAACACAGTGTCCGGCGCACAGTAGGTCGACACGGACAGGCTGTTACTCCCCACACTGGTTCCTCTTATATCAGCAACAAAAACTAATCAGAATGAAAGTGTTTTGAGTTACACACTGGACTGCTTTGAAGCCTGATGAGGCCGACACTGCTATGATCCCACTTTACAGATCGGACAACTGAGGCTCAGCAGAGCACTCGTGCTCAGGGCCATTCAGTGAGGAACTGGGGGCTCTAGGTTGGGGACCCGGGGTCTCCCCTGCCCACCTCCCCTCTGCCTCTCTGCCCCTCCCCT